ACATACAAGCAGCCAAAAGTTTGTAAAAAAAAAGGAATAAAAGGTCACCTTTGCTTCCAGAAAAGCCAGTATCTGGCCCATCTTCATGAAAGGATAGAATCTGAGCACGTGCACGCATGAAGACGAACATAGAAATTCACATACAGAAAGTGAGAGGGATGGAAAGTTTCAAATGATATACAGTCAGAAAAATATGTAAAATCAATAAAGGTTCAACATGTGCAAAGAACAAGATGATCCTAGAATATCAACCTCAAATATTCAGGATAATTGGCCATCTTAAAACGTTTCACCATTTACTGGGAGAAAGATGGATATCACCATGAAATAACATTAGTTACATATAGAATCCTACCATCCTGTAAGGATATCATTTACGCCATGTTTCCTCATAAGAGAATGAAAAGAATCATTCTGTTATCATGAATAGATTTTAAGAACATTCCACCAGAATCTCTGGGAAAAATGATATAATATTATGGCCAAAACCAAAAAAAAATGAAAATTGACATGGCTCTTTTTTAGATTTTAAGAACATTCCACCAGAATCTCTAGGAAAATGGTATAATATGATGACCAAAACAAAAACAAAATGAAAATTGACATGGTTCTTTTTTTTTTTTTTTTTTTGAAATAAAAAGTGTGAAAGTATATACATATATTTTTTGAGATAAAAACATGTATATTATGTATATAACACCAAAGGGGGTGTCGTCCCTATACAAAAATATTTAAATTTCCGTTAAAACATCAAAAACCCTCCCAAAATCATCTTACCCATACACATCATGACCTATAATTAAAGTCTCAAAAGTATGTAACCATCTATCTCTAATTCCACTAATATCCCTCACACACCCATTCGACGCTCTATTGTTCCTTTTTTTCCAAACAACCCAAAAATTAGTTAAAGAAATCAGTTTAACAAACTTTGATCTATTCCCCATCCCACCCCAGGCTGACAATTCATTTTTAACAGAACCCCCAATCACCCAATTTATTCCCAATAAGCAGTACATTGTATACCATAAGGTATCAAAGGGGCACCACCCATATACAAAAAATTTACAATTGTGTTAGTGTGTCAATAACATTCACAAAATACTCATCTCTAATAATGTCATGTCCTAATAAAATAGACCCAAAATAGCGAAACCATCTCTCTCCCAATCTAAAATGTTCTACTTCTTTACACTCAAAAGCCTTACTATTCTTCTCTTTCCAAATGACCCATAATATGATCAAATGAATCAGCTTTATGAAATCTCTCTTTTTACATAACCCTTCCCAAGCCCAAATGTTCTCTTTAACCGACCCGCAACGACCCAATTAATTCCCAAGAGGCCATAAATTATACACCACAACTCATAGGCAATTGAACAACGCAAAAGGATATGGTTGCAAGATTCTTCAGCATTCTGGCAAAAATAGCATCTGTTCACCCAAATCTGTCCCCCCTTCATCAACATGTCAATAGTTAATATGCACTTCCGACTAGCCTCCCAAGCAAAAAGCGCAATCCTAGGAGATACTTTAGATTTTCAGATTTGGCGAACCGGAAAGTTTTGGCTGCTTAACTGTCCATTCCAAGCAATATGCTTATAATAAGATTTAACAGTGAAAACTTTCTGTTTACTCCATTTCCATTGAACCTGGTCAGCGCAAGAGTTTACATACTGTGATGCTAGAATTTGCAATAAAGTTTCATACTTATTGATTTCCCAGTCATTCAGGTTCTGGATAACATTTACCGTCCATTTAGTGTTGCCATTAACAGTCCTATAGGCCTCATCAATCACCATGTCTTTAGATTGTGCAATTGCAAAAATGCTAAGGAACCGGCTCTTAAGACACCCACCCTCTAGCCAATCATCCACCCAGAATTTGATTCTATTTCCTCTACCTACTTTCCATGTGATGCAATTCTGAAATCGAGGCCACTCCACAAGAATCTTCCTCCGCAAACCCAAACCGTGCGGTCTTCTAACTCTATCACCACCACCCCTCTCCTCAAGTCCATCCCATCTCACCTCAACCACCCTCCTCCACAATCTGCCCTCCTCCTTCAGAAATCCCCAAAGCCACTTCCCTTGAAGAGCCACATTTAACTCCACAAGTGATCTGATACCCAGACGTCCAAGGTTAAGAGTTTTTTAACATCATCCCAATTTATCAAATGATACCTCCTATTACCCTCCATGTCACCCCAAAGAAAACGACATCGAATGACTTCCAACCGCTTAGCAAACTTCACCAGCATTGTCAATGTGGATAAGCAATAAATGGGGAGATTTGCAAGGGTGCTTTTAATTAAAGTGAGTCTTCCCCCCTTTAGATAAAAAATTCATCTTCCAACTTGCAAGCCTTTTCTCAACTGAATCCACCACCGGTTCCCAAGTTCTAAGATCTTTATATTTGGCTCTTGAGAGACTGACCGCTTTACATCCCATCACTTTTTGCAAGTTGAATCTAATTTCTTTTATCACCAATACAAACCATTAATAGTATCATGAATAGACATGCAAGTTGGGAGATGACATGGTTCTTATATTGGGCTTCAGCCCTTCAACATATGTCCAGTATCATGAATAGTACATAACATTTGCAAAAATGATTGAATTGGACAACAAAAAAATCCTGGACCATTTCATAAAGCAAAGAAAAGTTTATTCTCATGGGAGCTTATTCACTACCACAATATAGTTAAGTAATTTCATCTTAATCAATCCAGCAAAAAGTTCTATCTTAATCAAAGTGTTTAGCCCCCCTTGTAACATAAAGAAAAGGTTGTAGATGGAAGTAAGAGGAGAAAGACACTAAGGCTGGTGAACTGGTCCTTCTACAGCACTGCTTTCTTTTTAAAAAAAGAAAAATCTTTGCATTATGATACACCTGTAGCTATAAGCTCTTGAAGTTCTGGCCGCTAGAAAAGGAGAATAAGGGGTCATGGTAGCAATTTAATCAAAAGAAGGACACAGCTATATCTTTGAAACAATGGGCTGTTTTCCAGATTTAAGAAATTGGCAGAGATTTAATTAGTTGAAATAAAACCTACCTAGCCAAAATTGTTGAAATAGTAGAGACAGGATAACTACCACTGGTGCTCACATCTGCAAGATTGCCGAAGGCACGCCCTATCTAGAAATCAAGAGTGATAGCTGTTAGCAGTATCCATAAGATAAATTTACCATGAATTTTAAATATAGTTCAAAGCAAACCTCATTGGCAAGAGCAAAGAGTTCTTGGCTCTCCTTTTCTGGAAACCATCCAAGTTTGCAAGCATTCTACCACATATCATAAAGTCAGCATAATAAATTAGTGCAGAAACAAGAAAAATTTTGTCGTGCCTACAGTGGTGACTTCAGCAGGTTCTTAGAGGACACATAAAGGGGAAAGAGGGGAAAATTCTTTAAAAACTACTTTCCCTTATGGATAATAGAAAACAAGGTGAAAAACGAAGATATAAGCTATCAAAATAAAATGAGGGAAGAAAGGGGCTGCGGCAACCAGGGGATGTCAATACATTGAAAGAAAAACCTACAAATAGTCTAAATTTGAAATAGATCTCAAGATGCATAAAACATTGAAATGCTGAGAGTAAGATCAAACCTAAATAATGCAAATTAACAGCATGCATAACTAGGGAATCCATCATATAAATGCTTCGTCTCAAAATTACCTTAACAGAAATCATAAGCACCATGATAGCGGCTTGTAAGAAGAGATCATTCCTACATTGGCATATCTACACAGCATACAGAAAACGTAAGCTACAATCACGCCAACTTCCATAGAGAAAGAACATGATGTGTAGATACTTCTAAAAGTAATAAGTTGACCTTAGAAGAATAATTGACAAGACTAAATGGATACTTGCATTCATAAATTAAAATAAAAGGAAAAAGATAATTCACATAAAGATTAGAAGATATGGCAAAGTAGAAACCTAGTAAGCAAGCAAAGTCAACCATAAGAAAAGCAATTTAAATTCAGTAATTTCCAGTAACTAAATGTTAATCAAGAAGGCTGGTGCCAGTGCACATAGGTAAAATTATCACAAATAAGATAGGGCATGAAAGGCATCTTTAAATCTTCTTAAAATTATTATTCATCTTGCATTTTTCACTCAATACCACACAAGTCCCATGATAGGAACCTAGCTTTGATACTAAGCAAAACATAAATAGCCATACCTCTAACCCATACATGACCTGTTTTCTGAAAAAATCATAATATCTAAACTCACAAACAACCCGTTTACAAGAATCAGTCTGTTCAGACCAGCTTGACCTGTTTATTCTAAAATGTTTGATGAATTAACTAAATCAAAACTCAAATTGTTCTTTTAACATTTATATTAAATTTATATAGAACGGTATCATGTATATTTAACATATATATTTCAGATATAAATGACTAATGATATGCACTTAGAAAAATATAAAATCAAATGGGCTAAATATAATAATGAATCACAGTAAAATGTGTAACCCATTTAACACATTTGCCAAACAAATGGTTTGAATGAATCTAAACAGGTTAAGCAAGTGCAACCTGTTTAGAGCTGATTTTTTATTATCTAAATGGATCACCTGTTAATGAACCAAATCAATTTAGAAACCTAAACCACCACAACTGTGTCTGAGTGAGTCTTGTAAACAAGTTGTGTCAAATCTTGCCGGCACTATCTAGAACATAGTATACCCATGCACTCCAAACACTAGTTCCAATAACAGATTCCCAGTCAGCAACTGGAACAAAAACCTCAAGGCCCTGAGCACAAGGTAACAATCTAGTATTCTAAGATCATGATGCGATCAAAATATTCCATATATTTTCCAAAATCAACATCAATAGCATGGTATATAACTAACAAAGCTCCATGCATAATGGTTAAAGGAGATCCATCCTATGTAATATCCAATACTTCATGTATTGTTAAACTTATAAATTCGACACTCAAACAGAATTATGAGTGTTATTCTCCAATTCTTGCTGAATAAAAAATAGCTTAAAATCCAAATAAGGTGATGGCAGTCACCTGCTTCAAGAGAAAAGACAATTCTTGAGTTTTGGTCGGAATTTCATTGTTTGCAACTGCAAAATCAATGCCTCTGTATATATTAAGACAAATATAGTCAATTGCCGTTTAGAAAGAACAATAAAAAATTCCTAAAAACCCAGTACCAATAAGTTCCATTCCTGCTCTATGGGGATGACATAAGATGGGATGGAATATCAAAGAAGCGAAAGAACTAAAAAATTTACTCAAAGCATATAAAATGAGAATTAAAGGAGCAAGAATAACAAAAAAATAGGAAGAAAAAATCATAATAAGGGATGACAAAAGATTAATACCACCAATCAAAGTGTTAAGCATGATTAGAAACTAATTTTGAGCAGCAGTATGGGAGCAATGAGAACAGCTGAAGAAAGAAAGAAACAAAAGGGATTTTCCTCCACAAAATCCTTTATCTTATGGAGCCTCCTCATATTACCACGGAGGAATTACATACATTTCTCATGGAAATGCTAACAATTAGGACTGCAATGGTCATTCATCAACTAACTAAAAGAGATTCTTTTGCAGAAATGTAATGCATGCCAATAACAGTCATGATCATTGCTACTATAATTCCTTGAACAGGTTATCATAATATATAAATACTTATAAGGGTTTGTCAGGGGCATGAAACATGAAATACAAGCATTTATAGCATGTGTCCTTTATCACCTTATTGGGTTTAATGCAAAGCACACAATATTGACAAATCTGCAATGGAATCTAGACTCATCCTGAGGGTATCCAAGCCAGCACAAGACAAGGCCTGGTAGTCCCAAGTATATTATTAGAATCATCCTGAGTTCCAGTAACTTAATTTCATTCAATCCCCATCCTTCTACCCTCTCAAAATCAACAGACAATAACCCACGACTAAATCTTTCTTCCTAATTTCCCTCATCCAAGAAACTAAATCTTCATTATTTCCTCACCATTTTTCAGAAACACAAAATATTCATCCAGAGATAAACCCTTTACACCAGTATGCTGCAGATCAAACTGCAGATATTAAAGACAGTAAAATGTTATGATTACTAATGCGAACTATTTATACTCGCGATCCTTTCCTAGAATCTTCCATTTGGGATCTTAGCGTGTAAACAATGGAAAAGAGGCTGGCTAGGTGGAAGAAGACCATCTCCTAAACAAGAGCAAGCTCAAACTCATGAAAAGTTTCTTGTCTAACCTCCCTATTATGTTCTCTTGCTCCTCCCCATTCCTATATGGTTGCTAAAAGGATTCAAGCGATTCAATCCTGTTCTTGCAGGGTGACTTGTATGAGTAGCAGAGATTCTATTTGGTTACTTGGAGATAGATGAAACAAAGTTTGAGTGGTGGTCTGGGAACTAGGTCTTTAGTTGCTTTAAATAAAGGTCTGCTGGCCAAATGGCAATAGATTACTTGTTTTCTGATAAGGACACCTTCTGGTGGAATTTTGAGGCCCAATTTCGATTTGCATGCTGATGATTGCTTCCCAAGTTGAGAAGAGGGCTCTTGGTCATATTCTGTGGCAACAAATTGACAAAAATTGGAACGTGACTCTTGGACCATTGAGTGTAAAGTTAGTGATGGTACCGACATCAAACTTTGGCATGATCCTTGGTGCTCTGTAAGTCCATTGAAAGACTCATTTCCTTCTATTTTCTCCATTATCAGGTTCAAGGAGGCTAAGCTAAGTACATGGGTGGTACATGTCATTGAGTCACTAACTATATTATAAGTCTTTTGTACATGAGTGGTACCCCGTTTTTGTTGGTACTTGTTAATATACTGCTTACTTTTTTATTTCAAAAAAAAAGGAGGCTAAGCTAAGTGATTATTTTGACTGAACAATGGTAGAATCCAATGGATTGTTCCCCTCCTCCGCAATCTTAAGGATTGGGAGATTGATGAGGGGGTGAATCTCCTTTCCATTTTGGAATTCACTCTAGTTGACTTTGATGAGACTGATAAACCAATTTAGAAACACACAAAGGATGGTGTTTTCACAGTTAACTCTTGTTGGAACCTTATAAACTTTTTCTAATGCTTTTTTGGACACTTCCACTAGAAGCACACAAAAACAAGGACAACCAGAAGGACTTTTTTCTATTGGGAGGTAGCTTGGGCCAGAATCTTAACTATTGACATTCTTATGAAGAGGGACAAAAATCATGGCTAGCTGAAGCTTTTGATATTTTAATGAATGCCGATGCCCATAGCATCTCCTTCTTTGGCAGTTAGAAAGCCTTGGGAATATTCTCTTAGCCTCATTAGCGCTTCTAGGGTGGTTAGTGCCTTGATCAAGGATGAACTATGGGAATGAACAGCATACCTACTTCCAAGAATCAGAAAAAAATTCTCTCATTCTTGTTTCTATTTTGGGTCAATTAAAAATAGAGAAACGGAAGAGCTTTCGGTCGCTCTTATACCCCTTTGCATGCATCCCATCATTGGTTGGAACTCTCAGTCTTTGAACAGGAATTAGTTCTTGGTGGATGATGCAGATATGATATTTGACACTTATCTTTGTAGTTCTCCATATGAGTCTTTTTCTATATGGGATGCACCTCCTTGGTGCCTATAATCTTATTTCTATCTTTCTCTGGGAAAAAATAAGCCAACAATACTTCTATAAGTTCAATTCCCTTTTTCCTAATAAATTTTCATTGCATAAAAGCTCTAAACGCAGAATTATTTACTATACTAAATCATGATTAATAACAAACAGAAATTCGTATCATCAACCAAACACAAACAAAAATTATTGTTCAACAATATACTTCTCATGGCAATTAAACAAAGAGAAGAAAGCAAAAATAAAAATATCAAGAGAAATTTTCAACAAATATAAGCTATAATTAAAAAACCTAGCGCCGGAATGGCGATTTCACTCACACAAAATAAATTAGAACGACTTGGAACAAAACGGGCAATAATCATCTAAAAAAACAGATAAACAAGTAGATGGACATGGGAGTGCCTGGCGAGGGAGAGGCAGAGGCCGGCGAACTCGGCGGGCTGGGACAGGCGGCCTGATTGGATGTGAGTGGCCAGCCGCTGGACCACCGTAGACAACCGTAAAAAGTTCACCTCGGACGCAGTTGGTTGTTGCCTCATCCCCACGTTCATTCCGGCCAGTGACGTTGACGGTGTGGTTGCCGCCGGTACCGTCGTACCCGTCATTGCCTTTCTCCCTCTCTGGTCTTTCGAATTAGACTGTTACACAGTAAAATAGTTCTGGAACTAACGAAATTCGAATTGTTGAACGAGGGCTGGTGACGACAATACCTTTTCTCCTGTTTTTTTTTTTTTCTTTTGGAGAAAAGGATCTTAGTGCAGCAGACAGTATTGGGCTCCAAAAATTACAAGATGAGCCCCTTTTGCAGCATTTTGGGCCTGTCCATTTAAAGTTCCGGGAACCCATAAAATGTTATAAAACTGAAAATCCTTGGTAAGTGTTTGACACTGTGTTATTTACTTCCTCATAGCTAGTCGAGGCATATAAGATAGGCTAAATGTAACACTCAAGTGATTCTAATCTTTTTCTTATTATTATTATTTTTTTTTTTTATATTTGAATTTTTTAGATTTTTATTTTATTTAATTTAATGAAAATAAAAATAATAATAATGATAAAATTGGGTAAAAATATTATTTGGATTTAATTGAAATTGATTTTGAGAAAAATATGTGAAAATCTAGATTCTATGGATGTTTTTGAAAAGAAAATCGGAAACCGGAGGTTAAAACGCAATTTAGAAAAGTTGTGTCACGTCAGCACCCACGTCAGCAGCCCCGACCAACTAGGACACGCCACGTGGCAAGAAAGCGCTGACACAGGACGGGCCACGTGGGCGATCCGCGTGCGCGCGATCAGACGGCCTAGATCCGTTCCCGCGCGCATGGACGGCCCAGATTCATGCATATGAACGGCCCATATTCAATCAGGCACGGACGGCCCAGATTGCATCGCGATGGACGGCCCAAATTTAATCTCAATTAAATCGCAATCGAACGGTCCATATTTAATCTTGATGGACGGTGGAGATTAAAAGGCAAAGGGTATAAATAACCCCACCCACACCTGACTATAAAACCCTAGCCGCCAGTGCCTCGCCGGAGAAGAAGAACCAGACGCCGGAGGAGCCAGCCACTGCCACCCGCCGCCGCACCGGGAAAGTTTTCGACTGCCGATCGAGGTAAATTTTCTCCCCCTGGCTCGTTTTTCGATGCTGAGTCCGCCTATGGCCAAACCAGAGCCAAACTACCGGCCAAACGGCCGAAAAACCCAGCCGAAGTCCAGCGGCACCGCCGCGCCCCCCCTTTGTTTTTGCCTCCGATGAGGCCCTTCCCGGCCTCTGTTCGATGCAAATTTTATACCACTGTGATCACCGTTCTTTTCTCTACAGGTTGATCGGAGCCAAACATCAAAATGCGACTCAAGCCAGAGGAGCCGCCGCACCCGAGAGCACCGCCGCTGGTAAGTATCAGTTTTTCGTGATTTTTTGGCCCACCGAGGGCCCTAGGGTTATTTTATCGCAGGGACCGATGCAAGTGTGGCCGAATTCGGCCAAAAACGGCTAACCCGAGGTGAATCGCCGCCGTGATTTGGAATTTTTTGGGACACGTGCAAGTACTGATAGTGTATTTCAGTTTTTTGGAAAAAATTCAAGGAAATTAGGGACAGCCTGTAGGCACACTGTAGAGTCGAATTCAGACCCCGAAACAAGTAAGGACCCATCACCCTGTTTCCTATCACGGTATTAAAGCTAAATAAATAATTAAATTGTACTTTGTGACTTTATTGATGTATAATTGATTAAGGTTGCCAATGGAGCTCGAGTCTGATACAGCGTTGGTCTGTTATTGTTTGGTCTAATTTCCAGTATTAAATGCAACATGATGTTTGATGTAATTATGTTATGGTCTCGTATGCAT